ACATCTGTACCAGCTTTTGCTGCGCTCGTGGCTGTGGCTGCAGGAGCCAGTGCATCCCTCGGGGCTCCTTGCTAGCCACGATCCTGCTGGTCTCTCCTATGTTCACATCCTCAGATGCATACAAGCAGGATTTATGCCCCAGTACCCCTGAAAAATCTATTGGGCTTTTGCATCTGAGTGCAACCTCGATTCACACCACGGCCTTAAATAAGCAGAGGAAAAATGCAACTACATTATACACTGATGTAAACCAAACAGCTCTGTCTTCTAGGTGGTCTTCATGACTCACTCAAACTCTTCCAGTGCCAGCTTTCCAGGATAAATCGTTCACAAACATCACAGCACTTTGTTCATCGTGCTTCTGAGCTCTTGGAGCACTTTGTTAAAATCCAGTGACCAAGCATTGGCCATACATCAATACATTGAATTTTAGTCACCACTGTCTTGTAATGCTATTTGTAGTGATGCAAAGTACCTATATGCTATTACTGAGTCTGCTAGCTATTTTAAACCACTTTTTCACTGGCAAAATTACTGCTCACAGAGCAAAGGAACAACTCAGCCTTGGTCCCTGCAGCATTATTTTATTTTTATTATCTTTAAACCTGCTCTAAACCCTGTCTTTTTTGTCCCTAGCAGCTCCTGTGGGATGTATCAGGGCTCAGAAGCTGGATATTCAAGCAAGCAGACTTTCTGAGTACGGTGTAGTCCATAAGACACGTCACGACGGGTCTCCTTGCACTTGTTCTCACACTTCTCCTGGGGTCAGTGCTGTAGAGCAGGGATCAGGGGTCTCTGGGGGAAGGGATGGAGGAGAGAGATCAAACCTCGGTAGGAGGCAGGTGTTACTGATCTTCTGAAGTGAGGCTGGTGTCTGAAGAGGTTGAGAAACAGCTGACCACAGCTAGCCTCTTGCCTCCAGCATGGAGGGGCAACCCTTGGTGCTTCATGGGAAGGTGTGAGAGCATTTTTGCGGTCAGTAGAACAGTATTTCATCTTAATCCATAGCACAGATAGCAGAACACCCTGAAGCACAGTGTTGGTGCAGCCTCATGCAGTTGGTGGCACCAGAAGCAGTTTTGTGTCATGAGATGTGCGGAGGAGCTGCGTCTTGCGACGGCCCTGTCTGCAAGTTTCAAACTAAATGCTTTGTGTGAATTATTCATAACACTGCAAAAATGTAACATTACTTTAATTTTGTTATGGTTTTTACTAATACTGAATGCTTGTTCCCTTGCTCAAGATAGAAGGGTGACCTGAGATGCTGGAGGCTATTTGTCTGACCTACAGCTCCTGCTCCAGAAGAACATCTTCCTTGCAGGCCGTATGCCATATCTGCTATGGGGATGTCTTTCTAAAGGTATTTATTGTCTCTCATTAATGTGTATGTCATTAGCTGAAGTGACAGGCTTTTTCCAGCCATTCCCACAGGCAAACGCTTTCTAACTGGCCAGTTATGGTGCTCCTCTGAGAGAGCTTCACTGGGTTTCACATCTTGTAAATAAATAATGGAAAATGTTAAGTCTCCTGAGAAGAATCTAACCTACTGCTTCTTCTCTTTTCTTATATGAATTTATGTAATCATAGCTCCCAGCTGTTACATGTTCAACATTAAAGAGCTCCTCACCACCAAAATAATTTCCATTTGCTTGTTTATAGCTCCTAAAAGCATCCAAGAAGAGAGGGGAACGACTTGCTCACCTTCCCAAAGGAAAGCACAGTGACCATTTGGCTGGGGGCCAGTTCACTCAGGCCTCCTCAGGACTTCTCACTTTTCCTTCAGGTAACGAGCTGCAGGTTCAGTTTCCTGCTCCCGTCAGGATGGTAGCAGCAATGTAAGAACTTTAACATAATTTTTGCTGAGAGTTAGCATCAGTCTGGTCTTACTTCCTAAACAAAGTCATCATTTTAAAATTAAATACACTTCTACAGAAAAAGCTAATCCAGTTGGTGCAAAACGTTGATGAGAATTAGGTACACAGACAAAAAAACCCACAAAAATACAAATATATACCTTCCATGCCCACCATAAGTTAGTATAGTTCTATTAGAATTGTAGTTTAATATTTCAGCAAAGTCTCACATCAGTCTTACCGCCTCCATGTATCTGACACAAGTATGGAAATCTCCACACGTTCCCCAGACCGACAGCAAATCCAATACAGCTTAAAATGTACTGGAACTTATTGTCCCACTTGGGCCTCCCATCTTCTTTAGAGGTTTCAGGTGGCACTGATAAATCTTTCGACATTTTAATGAAATCTCCTTGGCTTCTTAGCCCCTTTCCCTATAAAGAGGGAGATGCTTCAAAACCCGTCTCTCCTCCAGGTTTTATGCAAGGTGGCTGGAGGATCCTGGAAAGAGAGGTGGAGCTTTGTTTTTATGTGATGCGAAGGAACGTGTCATTGCTACAGCTGCAGTTTAAAGACAAAACCAGGAATTATTATTATATAGAGAGTTGCCACTCTTGACTTTTTTGCAGCTCCTTCTATAGTTAGAGAACTTGGGAATATGTTGTTAATGGGTAACTCGGGCTCAAACAGGTTTTTATTTTCTGTTCTTCTCTTCTCAGAGTGTATCCTTTCAGGCAAGTGTGACACTGAATACAATTAAAAAGAAACCTTCACAGCAGACTAATTAAAAGTGTAAAATATCTGGAAAAATTGTGAGTAAGGTGTTGGCATTTCCTTGCTTAGTTTGTTAATAAACAGAGATGTGTTTTGCAAGGGCAAAAAGCAAATTTGAAAAAAAAACACCACAAGATAAATTAGACCATGTATGTACAGACATTAGAACTTGGTCCATTTTCACCATAGCTGTTAGAAGTTAATCACTTTCCACCTGTCAATGAATCCCAAGTGACTATTTTTATTGTTCATTAAAAAGTTACTGATGAACCCAAAAGCTTTCCTTCAATTAAAACTATGTGAGAATGTTTTTCTGTTGCGTTTCAGCTATACCAGGGTTTTGCTATTTTGCACACCGAAACAGTTCACGCTAAACAGATCAGCCAGTCAGCTTGTATGCTTCAGTAAATCACTGCTTTATTTCTGGGTTCCTCTTTTTTTTAAATGGGAAGGGTGTAGAATCATAGAATGTATTGGGCTGGAAGGAACCTTTAAAAGTCATGTAGTCCAACCCCCTTGCAGTGAGCAGGGACATCTTTAACTGGATCAGGTTGCTCAGAGCCCCATCAAGGCTGACCTTGAGTGCCTCCAGGGATGGAACCTCCACCACCTCTCTGGGAAACCTGTTCCAGTATCTCACCACCCTTGTAGTAAAGAACTTGCCATCTAAATGAAGATGGATTTTTTTCCCCCTCAAAATACTTAGAAGTAAAATCTCTGCGGCTAAGCATACAGATGCGGTCAGGTTGCAGATCACCCAACCAGAAGCCCATTTCACATCTGGGCTACGCAAGTCTCCCCAGGTGAGCGCAGTTCATCTGCTTGCGGCTCTGCAAGCACCCGGATCCGTAGCGGAGCAACTTGACATCCCAGGCCCTTATCAGGATGTCTCAGGATTGTGATCAGGAGTCATTGGACTCAGTCTGGTTTGGCAGCACCTACATGGCATTGCTGCTGCCAGAGCCCCTGCTGCTGCTGCTGCTTTTCTGATTGGGAGGTGCCTTGCGCTGTGCTGGGGCCATGCTTGCTGTACATGCCTGCCTTGTGCAGCCGACTGCTTCAGACTTGGTTTTACTCATGCTTTCAGGAAAATCTGACAAAAAATTGGTCAGTCTTAAAACGTCTTTAAATAGTTTAAATAATTTCACATTCAAATAATTAAAAAAAAATTGAAAGTGGAATGCAAATTAATTTAACCCCTCAAATACACATACAATGTCTGGTACTTTCTATTTAGAGCACATACACTACTCTAGAGATGCAATCTAAAGATACCCTAAATACCACTATTTCCTGTAAGAGAGTATTTTGATTTTAAGGGAGTGTTAGGGCGTAAATTGGATCAATTCTCTTCTTAAAAGGTGAGTATAGGAAGAGCTGCAAAGCAATATGAATGTGTTGCCTCTGTACTGGGAGAGTTGGGTGAAAGGGACCAGCTACCTAGAGGGGACGTTTAGACTGTCTGCTCCTGGCTCTCAGCCTGGCTGCTCTAACCGTGCCCTTTTCTCTCTGCAGGGACCACCTAAGGAAAGGGACTCCAGACCAAGCTCCTCTGGGCCACGTGGAAGTTAGAAGCTTGAAATCATGGTAAGGCAGGTGTGCGCGTGTCTGTGTGTAGGTGAAAACTACCCACCTCGGTTGTGACAGATGAGAGGAAGGAGCTTTGCACCACTTGGGTGCCTCGGATCCTCCACCAGCATGGACCTCCCAGACAAGTGGTGCACCCCTGAGCAAGGGGTGCCAGAGAAGGCAGATTTTTGCCATTTCCCAAACTGCTGCTGCCCCACTGCAAGATTACTTCTTCTGTCATCAGCAAAAGCAGCACTGTCTGCTGGGAACTTGGAAGTAATAGGCAGTTAATAAAACATCTAGAATCATAAATGAATCAAACTGGCATTCTCATACTGAGAAATGTTTTTATTAAATATTTTAAACTTCCCCATGAGACAAATAATATTGGTGGCTTTGTGCAACACAGTGGCCTATAAAGTAAAAACAATTTAATGTGCAAGAGAAGTCGGTATTAAGTTACCCTTCGTATTGGCCACCCACCCAGAATGATTGCACATTGAAGAGTCACTTATGGCACGTCAAGCAGGCCCAGACAGAGAACTGCAAGCCAGTTGCAAACCAGCTGGCTTCAAAACCGGGAGGAGGACAAATGATTTGGCCTGGTGCCCCAATCACTTGCCAGTGTGGCTGTTCTGCTTCCAGGATCCAAGCCAATAACTCTTCACAGTGCGCTGCATTGTAAAGTAAACAAATGTTTACCTGGAAACAATACGTAGTTACCCTTTTATGCAAATGAAATTAACTCTGGTTTCTTTAATTTTTTTTTACTTTTCTCACTGACAAAATGTTCTTCTGCATTTTTTTTTAAATGGGTTTATGCTGAATACTTTAAGTTTCCATTAACTGAAGTCTCAGATGTGGAGATGATAAGGCCCGTATGATCATTTTTTTTCTGACAGCAATTTCTGATGGCTTTGTAGATGGCAAAGGTAGGAATCGCCAAACTAGGCACTCCAGCGAGGATTACAATAATAACATACACCCAGCCGGGATATTCAACCTTCTCTGTTTTGGGGAACTCCGCCTGAAAGAGCAAACAATCAGGTTGTAGAAAACTGTGAGGAGCAAATACCTGGGAACATGCACACATTCAGTAACTCAACAGAACCAAAATGTAATCATCAGAAGAGTAGCTAGCCACAATGGCAACAGAGTTTGACAATTCCACAGCAGTTCCCAGCACAAGGATTTCCAGTCTCAGCTGTTCTGGCCTTATTTTTACTTAAAAGTGATGGAAAGAACATGGTATTATAGAATCAGTCTCTGGAGGAGACTTAGGTGGGGCTGCTCCTGGCACACTTCCTGGGCACAAAGGAGTGTGGGACTGGGGAAGGGGGTCACCGGCCACTGGGGCTTGGTGGCCAAACAGCCGATGAATGGGAAGGCTGAAATCAAAGGCTGTGGGAGGGCTGAAAGATTATTAGGATGGAGGAGAGAAGAAAGCATTCTCATTTCCCTGTCTTCCTTTCTTTCCTTGTCTCTGTCTTAAGAATATAAAAATTAATCTTTACAAATTAAGTGTGCTGCATAAGTGTTTCTGCTTTAAGGATGGCAACTGGTATGAAAAGCTGGAGAACAAAAGGCAGAGCTAGACAGGCAAGGAAGAGATGGGGTGATGGACAAAATTATGGGACCCACTTTTTTTCTAATATGCCCTTCTCTGTAGCACATGGAGCTTTTTATTCTGCAAGGGGAGGAAGGACATGGATAACTTACTGCTGCAACTGTAATTTAAATCATACCAGTATATTTGGAAGAGGAAAGAAGAATCCTGCATATTAATATTTATACTGATTAATGCTGACTTCTTCTGTCACTGATAATGAACCATTCCCACTGCAGTTCAGTGATTTTGAATGCACGCAGAGACAAGTGCAATAGCAAAATGGCTTCACTGATTTGGTCCTTTGTCAACATAGAAAGGCTGTGACATTTCTAGCTTTTCTACAGTCCCTACCGGGGAACTGGCATCTGTTTCAGTCCTGTCCCACAACTGAACTAATGGTTTGGGTTTGTCCACTTCTGAAAAGGTATTCAGATATCACCATATACTAGTTGCAGGCATCACAGCTAAATTTAGGACTTATTTTTCTGTTAATTTTTATTATTACTTAATGTCTTAGAGTAAGTTTTTTACTGGAAAACTGTTTCAGGTGGGAAATGAATGCAACTGACTATGATACCTAGATTAAAGAGGAACACGTGAAATAGTTCTAAATAAATTTTGTATACTTACATAGCTAGGATCCCAAACGCTGTAGAGTAGTTCTTCCCTGACTTTCACCACAAAATAGAAGAAGAAAATAACTAACATAATAAGAGGACTGATAACCCTCCAGGTGATCTGCCAGAAGATATTTGGCTTGTGTCCAACCATGAATTCAATATCCTTATTAAACCTAGAAACAAAAACAGGAAGCTCAGGACAGTAAGAACTGGTCAGGATCAAACGGTACCTGCTCATAAACAGGTAAGTCCAAACTAGCCCTTGCTGTGCTTCCCAGGACTTTGCTAATATCTGTGTGAAACAAGGACTGATAACAACCTCAGGAGTTAGACCTAAGTAGTTCAAATTCAGGCAGATATTGTTTCAAGACAGGAAAACAATGTTTGGAAATGAACTTTCTTGAAGAAATTTGTGAAGTGTATGCAATAGAGTTTTGACACAAAAGAGCCAATGCCGATGAACTTTCCCTATAATGTATTGCAGTATTGTTCCACCATTTTTTTGGTGAGCATCTCAGAGTTGCATGAATTAAAAGGAATGACATGAAAAAGACCAAAAGCAAATTGGAGTAATTTTAAAAATCAGCTTCCACGCATGTTTGCTTAATTTTGATTTCTACTGGTTTTTTTCAGGTTGAGGGCTGAAACAGTATTTAACTTTACATGTCAGAACACCTAAAAATGTGTTATTCAGTCTATTCATAAAGAATGCAGAAATGTCTCCATAAGAAGAAAAAAACTGTGCATTGAGAGTGATACCATCTGCATTAGTTTTAAACCAATTCATGACCTATACATAAGATGCAGCATCATGTACTCACACTTACTAAACAATTATTTTGGAAGTTTGGGGCTTGTATTTTTAGCCCTCTTGTCTGGCTTTCCTGCATATCCTACGGGGATAAGCCTGAGGCGACTGTTCAGTTGGTCCTAAAGCTATGAACAACACACAGAATTCAGCTGAGTCTCAATTACTCTGTAAATTTATTTTATCTTTTCATCCCTAACTTCTAAGACCTAGGTATCATTTTTAAAATGATATGAAGCCCCATGTCTCAACTCCAGAGCATGTCCAGGTGTAGTTCACGTGAGCATCATGGAACACGCAGGCTCTTCTTCAAGTAGGAGAGCCATCTTCTTACCAGTGCCTCTTCCTCAGGAAAAGGTCACAGAAATTCATCCAGAGCAGATAACATCACCTTTGGGCAGCCCTGATAAGCTCTGTGCTCAAAGAGGGCTACAGCAATGTAGCCCTGACCAGGAACATGAAAGTTGGGTGTGAAGTTCTTTTCTGAATCAGTCCCCACCCCTCTGTGGCTTCAGCCCATGTTTGTGTCCTGGGAATAGTTTTAACCTGACTTTGTCCTGAGATTTTAAAGGGAAGGAAAAGTGATCAACAGAGACTTTTCTGTCTTTAACAAACTAAAATAAGCCTCCTCTCTCTAGGGTACTCCCTCTGCTCATCCGATTTACCTAAGTCGATTCATGCCTCCTAGGGTAATATAAAAAATTAAGTAGGGGAAGATGTGCCACAAGGGCATTCACCCCATCGCCAGGAGCAGCATGGCGGGAGGGCCTGGCACAGGTTCAAGCAAAACCTGTGGGTGATCGAAGCTCCCACGCTTTTTTCACATTTCTTATGCATTAATTGTGAACAGACGGGGCGAAATTTGATTTATTACATCTCTAGAAAATTGAGAGGATAATTACTCACTGCTACCAGCAATAAAGTCTTGGACATATCAGCTAAGAATCCGTAGCCTTGGATTTGCATCCTGCTGTAAAGCAATACCTGCAGCCTGCCTGGAGATCCCTGATTTGCACAGAACCATTTAGCATACTCTTCAAACTCTCCTGGGATATACCTCTGGTTTAAACTTTCAGCTCAGTGCCCATGTGCTGCTCCTTTGCTTCTGCTAATTGAATACTTAATGCAATTATCCAGAAGGAGATTTAAGTGTCACTATATTTAAAAAATAAATGAGCTATAGTGGCACCTCTGTAACTGTTGCAGATATGTACATTGAGATGCTTACTTTAAAAATAGTTGGCACTCGTTATCCTCCTGGGCACCTGCTAATGCTTAATATTTTCTTGCAATATCTTAGGGATGTGTTTATTTTAGCTGCTTGTTGTAGAGCGTTATCTATTACAATGAATTAATAAAGTGGAAAGCTTTCATGTTGAAATAAAAATCTCCACTGCACTCTTAAAAAAGCATTTTTTATTTGCTGAGAACTATTTTAGAAACCTAAATCATATAAGCAACCCTAAATTACAGCTGCGTACTTTCAGTGATTTTTACAACAAAAATTCTATGCTCTGAGATGTAATAAGATTGCAGCTATAAAACTAATCAATCTATGCACTAGTTTCTAGTAACGTTTAACTTGTATTTCATACCTGTCTATTCCATAAATGTAGACGACTGAAAACATCTCACAAAATGCAATTATCAGCAGAGGAATAGAGCCGGCAAAACTGTCAAATAGAGCCAGCCAGTAATTACCAGACTTCAGCACAAAAATAAAAGCTATCAAGTAAGACCCCACACAAATGAGACCTGTGGAAGAAAAAACAAGCAAACAAAAAAACAACAACAAAACCAGCATGTTTAGGCAAAGAAAGAAAAAAAAAGGTAAGATATTTTCCCAGTAGCTTGAAAGCTTTATGAGTAACGTTTAATTCAGTTGGTGCCTGAAGGTAATGACTTTGTTTTTTAATTATACTCTTTTTAACCTGCTTCTATGCAGGTTAAATGGCAAAAGTCTCCCAACATCGCACAGGTGGGACTTGCTGCAAACAAGCCAGGAGAAAGCTGAGGAGAGAACACAGCTCCTCCTCCTCCTGAGAGAAATCCCACCTGGGTGAAGGACTCAGGTCCTCCACCTTCCCAACAGAGGAGGTGATAATCGTCAAGAGCAGGCTGACGGGCAAGCCACAAGGTGATTAGCTCTCTGCAGGCTCAGAAGGAACCTCACAGGAGTTGCCTAGCTGAGGGACATGAGAAAACCTTCAGGAGGTTATCTAGGAGTCTCAGGACCGTGCCAGATGAGAAATGAGATGGGTGGTGGGTTCGTTTTTCAGCATACAAGCGATTCCCTGGGCAGGTCACTTGTCCTTAGGAAAGGCACTTACCAGTAACAAGTTCCTTGGGCACTTTGGGGGGTATAATCTTAAGATCTTGTAAAGGTACAAGCACACCTTCCATATTTCCAAACATCGATGACAAACCCAAACAGAAGAGCATGATGAAGAAGAGAATGGACCACAAAGGTGAGACGGGCATTTTGGTGATAGCTTCAGTGAAGACAATAAAGGCAAGTCCAGTTCCTTCAACTCCCTGTGGTATATTTCAGAAGCTTCAAAATTAGACTCATTAACATTGTGCAGCACTTAAACTTGCATCGGTATTCACTAGACTTGGTGAGTGCTACACCATAGCACTGTTCTGCTTTTTGTTTCCACGGAGATGTCCTAATGCAGCAATGTATTTACTGTAATACAAATTCTGTTTCATGGAATTTTATGGGCATCTAGTTTCATCTGTAATTCACCAACTTCTTAATCCAAAAAAAAAAAAAAGTTGCACCCATTTAATTATTTTTGTAACTTTTTTTCACGCTGGTTTCAAGATCCATTCTTTCGGTGTTGTGATACACTTGTACTGACGAGGGACAGGGCTTGTTCCTGCTGCTTCCTCTCTCTGGGAGTGTCTTCCCTCATGATCTCATCCCACCACGGCTGCAACCAGCTACTTCCATAGAAATACCTGCTGCTATTTTGCCAGCCACACAACACTTGTGGTTTTAGTTACTAGTTGGTCTAAGAGATTGCCAGTACCTTTCAGAGGAATTAAACAGCTTATCTGTTCAAAAGTGAAATGGGGCAATCAAAAGTAATTCTTCAGTCCAAGAACATTCCAAGCCAATTGTAATCAAACAGTGGAGATACATAAAACCCCAACAACCTTAAAATGAAAAGTATTAGGCAATTAAAACATTCTACCATATTTATGGTATCAATATGTCAGCATGTTTAACTTACTTACATCATTCAGGAAAGTTTCCAGATTACAGGTTTCAAACTTCAGGCTTGCAAAGGTCAATGGATCAGTCATGTTACACAGCTGCTGCATTTGTTCAAAGTTATCTTGCGTTACATTACCTTCTGGCAAATCAAATGCATTCATCAGAGTGAGAATATTTCTGAAAAAGTGAAATACAAATAATTTGTCATTATTGTAAACACCCTCAGGATTCATCTTCATCATCAAACAAGTTATTAGGAGCACAGTGTCTTTTGTAAAGATACAAAGAAAGCAATTTGGTTTTGTTGCTCAAGATCAGAGTTTGAAATTGCGATGTCCAGCAACTCTTTCTTTCTTCTTCCAGGGTGAGCATGATACCACCTTTCTCAGCACAGATAACAAGTAAATGGATGGACACTCTAGGAACCTGTGCAGAAGTTAGGTGACCATCTCTGCACTGCAGACTGGGCACCGGTTCCCAGACTAGGCAGTTTCTGGGAACGTGTAAGTTGTCTGCAGTTACACGTTGTGCACCTCTGTAGCTCATGTGGAGGAGCTTGGCTGGGATCTGCAGGGTCTGGTAGCCCTGGTTAGAAGGGAGTCTGAATTGCTCTGGTAAAATTAGGTACCTCTGCCAAGACCTAAGCATTCAAAGAGGTGAGCTAAATATCGAGCTGATACAGGGACCTGGGTGTGTTACATTCATGCTGTATGTCAGCTCAGCAGGCATCCATTATTGTGAATTCTGCTGCCTTTTTTTTTTTTTTTTTTGCAGAGCTTCTAGACAATTTTTTGGAGGTTTGTAGAGCTTCATCTAATGAACTGAAGTGTGAAGAATTTCTTGAATTAATTTGGGTAATTTCCCAGTGTTGTACGCAGTCATCTGAGGTGCCTACGTGGTGATTCAGTCATGGCCAGGACCCTGCAGGACTGTCAGAACTGCCTGGTTGGCGGCAGCTTGCTTAACGTGGGCAGTGCTCTCAGTGGCTCATTGCAAGTCATCACCAAGGCAGAACTCCATAGTTTGGCCACTATGTCAGGAGGCCTTTGAGGATTTGACATCAGCCATAGTAGAAACAGCAGCAGCAGCCAAGTATCCTTTGTTTGATTGATTGTTTTTGAAGCATGTAATGTAAAATCTCATTTTTCACAGCAACAGTTTTATTGAAACTTGCCTTATCCACTTCAGTAAATGCATTCCTTCAGAACATGTGTTGTATACATTGTGGCAAATGATTAATTTTTTGCATTTAGCTCTCAAACTATAGATATTCTAGCACGTTTTAGTGAAATAATGCATCAGGAATCTACCCTTATGTAAATAGAAATTGTTACATAAACTGCACTTACATTAGAAAGAACAGTTTCAAAAACACTCATTAAAATATGGAATATCCTCTTCCTCCCTTGTTACTTTTTGATAATATCAGGGAGTAATGTAAAATATGGTTGCTTACACAAAATCTAACTAGGAAATAATGTGGCTTGAATAATTATCATTCTCTATGGAGCTGACACCACATGATTTAATTTTTCTGAAGTAGTGAATGTTCTGATATCATGTGAGTCAGGAGCTGTGGTTGTGCAGAAAAAATAAATCAATTATCATCAAGCTGACAGAGCTGTCTCCGTCAAACAAACATTTGTATATTTTGTGGGATTTTTTCAATAACTTACTTGTCAAAACAGTCATCATATCTTTCTGTGGCTCTGAATCCAATGATGGAGTATATGACAGTTGCTGCATAGATGGATGTGAAACCATTGATCACTGAGATAATCAGGGCATCCTTCTCACAGTTATTGCTGCAATTCAAAGAAGAAAAAAAAGAAAAAAGAAAAGAATGAATTTCAAATGCATTCCCCTCAAAAAATACTAAAAACTGGCTACTGAGGTTAACAAAAAAGTAGTCTGCAGATGCAGATATATCAATAAGCTCTCTAAGAATATACGAGTACAGCTGTTAAAAGATAGGTTTAGTGAACTAAAACTTGGTGCCTTAAGCAGTTTAATAGCTATGCTTTTTGGGTTTTTCCCCTCACATAATCCTATTCATAAGGAATAGTTGTTTCCGTGTCTGTTTCATGGAAAGGAAACCATGAAGGGCAAAAACTTCTCCTTTTCATGTGCAGATGCACGTGGGCATAAGCTGTATCTGAGTTGCCAAGGTGTTCTGCTGCAAGGTGAGAAGGGTTTGAATTCAGACAGTCAGAAGGGAGAAGTGACCAAAAGCTTCCAAAGCACTTTGGTCTGGTGAAGTTGCAGTTGCCAAGAGCACTTGGGAACAATTTTGTTTGATAGCTGGACAGAAGATGGTTTGAAATTTCCTCAAGTTTTGGAAATACGATGGCAGGTTAGGTTGATAAGGCTGGATAGACAACTTAATACATTGTGAAAGTTAAACTGCTTTTTAGAGGCTTCTCTGCTGTGGGCTCCTGCCAGCATATCTGTGCCAAGATGAAAATACTGCAGAGCCAGGAAGAGACATTCATCTGAGAGAGAAGATAAAGAATCAATATTAAATTAGTTAATGATTTTATGAGAAGGCTGTAAAGCTCTAGATATCATACTTCTCCTGGGCAAGACAGCACTACTGAGATTACCCTGGTGTTGCCATATTTAATTTCCTTATCACTTTCAAGAGGAGAGGAAAGACAAGCCTGTCCAGCCCAGACCTGTGACACTGTGACCTTTCCTCATGCATAGCAGGGCAAATAGGCCTTTAGTGGGCAGAAGGCATTGTATTGAATTTCCTTGCTGTACTCCTGGGGTTTTTTCACTGTAGCATGAGATTCTCAATGACAGACTTGATAAAAATATTTCTTCCCTTCAGAGAAAGTAAGGTGCTCAAGCTCCTCCTGGTTGTGAATGAGTGAATCCCTGATGGCATTGAAACCTCACGTATTTCCCGAGGTGTTTATACTCTCAAACCATCTGAGAGCCGAGTCACTGACACCTGGTCCAAACTTGTGTTGGACTGCAGGTGGCCCAACACCACAGTGTAACGCTATTGGTATTTGCCTGGTTTTTCTTGTATCTCCATGAGGTTTTCACTGCTTCCTGCAGTTTCTTCCTCAAGTCATGAATGATTGAGAATTGAAGGAACGTGGCCTGGTGCAACAGCATTGTGTGTTGAAAAAGTGGGAGGACAACGCTCCTTTTCTTTAGGTCCTTTGGAAAGATGCAGAACATTCTCAGCCCTGCACCTCACAATTCTGAGAATGTTGATTTGGATTTGAAGCGAGGCTTGTCACCTCACACTGAGACTCGCAGGCACCAAAAGTCCCAGGCAAACTTTTGAAAAATGTCTGAAATCAAGAGTGGTGGCAAGGAATTACAGCAGTGAGTGAAATGCTGTTGTGGCGTGGTTGAACCTGAGCCAAAACTGAAACACGGATTTCTGAATGCATGACCAAACCAGATAGCCAAAATTTATTTTGGAGATATTTATCAAAAATATTGCGTTCACAGAATGCTGCACTGTTTGTCTTTCAAGAGGCCAGCACTGAAGGGATGGAAGGCACTAAGAGACACTGGTGGTTGCTCCAGTATTTTGGGAGAGTGAGTATAGAATACAGCACCATGTCGTATTTTGCTGATGGGGTCATTCCCTGCATGATGGAGATTTGTACTCCTCCTCTTCTCTACTTCAATTGTGTATGTAAAGAAAGGAACTGAATTTGAATTTCAAAACTCCTAGATATATCTTTGAACCTCTAAGTTAAAGATGTAAACCGTGGTCTGTGAAGTGCTGTGAAATGTGAGTGCCATCACCCAGGCCTGACAGCGTGGAGACAAAGAGCATCACCGTGTGTCGAGCAGCCCTGCAAAGGAAACTCCTGCTCGTCAGCTGGTGGCGGGCAGCCAGGGCCCCTTTTCCCAGCCTGTGCCACCTTATCTTTCTGCTGGAAATCTGCCAGCACTGGGACATGAAATCTTGGCTCAGGAAAGCAAAAATCAGTCAGAGGAGATGTGCCTTACCTGGCTGAGGGGGTGGTGTCCTGGTCCCAAGTAATTGCCATCTAATGACTAGGCAGAAGTGGGCATGCTTCATTTGAAAGAATATTCATATAAAATTTGGCCTTTGGCTGGCTACTTACTGAACAGAGTTGTAACTGGAGAATGAAATGAGGCCTCCGAAGGCCAGGGAGAAAGAGTAAAACACCTGAGCACCTGCATCCAGCCAGGTCACTGGGTTAGCCAGCTCGGTAACCTGAGGCATCAGACATACAACTTTAAGCATATTTAGACAAAATACCATGGATTAAAAAACAGTAATTAAAACAAGAACACTAGCCATGCAGAACTCACCATTTTTGAAAAATGTTAACTAATAAGTCAATACTCTTGTCAGGCTTACTTTTTCTTTTCAAAAAGAAAATCTATGTGTAGGTTTTCCACAAGTATTTTGAAAATTGATAAACAAATTACTTTCCGTGGCTGACAGCTGCCATGCCTGTTTCCAGCAAAGGTGTTTATTATTTAACATTAATAATGGCCATTCAGTGGTCTTCTCATGGAAAACCAACCCCCTTTTAGTTTTGTTTAAAAACTGTTGTATAATTAAAACATCCTCTTAAGCCTTTTGTCCATTTAGCCATATTGATTAGATAGTTTCTACTCCCAGCTGGATGATTTGTGCTTCAAAGTTAGACTCGTGCTTAACTAGAATGCAGGAGAAGAAAACACCTTTATGGCAACCGCATTGCCTTGCTCTGTGATGGTCCTTCTATTGCTTATAACAGATTTTGACAGAGGGAGGGAGAGACAGCATGTGTGTGTATGTGTGTGTTTTACACCCGATACAAAGGATTTACCACCCAGAATCATGATTTTAAAGGTGTCTGAGGGATAGTTAGAAAAGCACTAATTTTCAATCAGTTGTTAATTACAGAGAGAGCTATGTCACATTTCACAAAGGGACAGATGACGCAGTGACTTACATTAGGGGTGAAGAGATACACAATTCCACTGGTTGATCCTTTCAGCGTCAGGCCACGGATTAGAAAAATTGTAAGCACAAGGTATGGAAGAGTTGATGTTATATACACAGCCTGCACAAAAAGCGTGTAAATAAAACACTTAAATAAGATACTTGAATAAAAATAGCACCGCAGAAGAAAAGAGGGGAATAAACAAGGTAATGTGACTAACAACAGTTAAGTTTCAAGCAAGTCACAACATACTACAGAAAACTTAAAGAGAAACAATGTGTGCAGTACATTTTGATAATGAACATTTTTACAGTTACAATGTTCTCTTTAAGATAAATTGTCATTGGTGAAATTCAACTCGGATCATTCAAAAGCAGCATAAAAAATAATCTAAACCCTGACATCAGGTTGATGCTGCGAATGCAGGCATGGGCTCCTGGGGCTTTGCTGCGCAGCTGAACGTTGGTCACTCTTTTAGAGAGATAATATTAAGGACTAGCACAAACCCAAATAAAACTATACAGGTATGTTTTGAAGAGAACAGCCAAAGCAATAGGACAGAGCCTCTCGACCCTGCATTAAAGGTTAATGTTAATGTTAATGTGGTAATACCTAAAGAATGTTTTCCTAGGACCTATAGGGGTAAGGAAGCTGAATTGCTCTCAAAAATCTCCACATAAATCAAATCAAATAAAATCAAATCAATCAAATATCAAATCAAATTCCATTTTGTTCAGCTTCCTTCTTCATAAAGCAACCCCAGTAAAGACACACAAAGTTTTAGACATGCTTTTACTCAAGAAATAGGCAGTATGATTAAGCCTGTAGGAATAAGGAATCACAACTGCACAATTAATATAATCATATAAAAAAACAAACCAGTGTACCTTTCCTGTTGTTTCGATGCCTCTGATTGTGCACACATAAAGTACACCCCATGCACATGTTAAACATAACAAGAGCCACCACTGTATAGAGCCTGAATCTTCAATGGAAGTGGAGATGTTTAATGTTTCTCTGTACCAGAAATAATCTACAGGAGAGCTCTTGGCACACTCTTCTATGTAATCTGTAACCACAAAATGGTTGCCATTCTGTATGTCTTTTAGGTACTTGAAAAAAGGGAAGTTAGATAATAAACATCAGTATTCTAAATTATACCATCTAATCTCAACAAATTTGTTGTTGGCAAATTCCAGATTCTTAGAGGCTTGTTTTATGGAAAATGAGAGAATTAAAAGAGAATTTTTTAACTGGGATTTTAATACATATTTTATTGTTATTACTATTAATTCAACTATGCAGATAAAATCTTTGAAGCTTACTTATAGACTCTTCTATCTTTATAATTTTTATTTATTCCTACAGAAATTGTGAGGTTAGAAGCCTCTTGTCACAATGAAATCATGGAGAGTATGTATGTATATTGCATGGAACATTTATTTCTTTGGTAAAAGAAAAGCAGTTAGGCAGGTGTTTCTCAGTGATTGTACACTTCCTACCTCACCTTAAAAAAACGCATAAACAGCTTTGGGCTTTCCCCTTGCATCCTACTCTTTCTTGCCTGGTGGGGTGTGGGCACTTTCTACATCTCCTTCAGATCAGCAATACTTTGTCTTTCTGTTTTCTGGGGCATCATTAAGGGTCTTGTCAGCTCAGGTTGGATTCTCAGCTCCCTGCCATGCACTGACCCGTGCAGTATTCTGTCCTGGTCTGCCCTTGTAGGAAGCTTTTTATACTTATTCTGGGAGAAGAGGAGCAAAGTGCTCTAAAGGGCTGTTCACTGACCCACCAGAAAAACCTGCTTCATGCAGTTTCATGCAGGGCTGACTATGGAAAACAAAGCTGCTGTCACTAAGCAGTCTCCAAGGAGCTACAGACTGTTGTCATATTGAGAGACACAGGTGTTTCATATGGATTATCCTTTTTTTTTTTTTTTTCAATATGCTAACAGAAGGCTGTTGGTAAGGAGATGGATGAAGCACATTTCCCGAATCTGGAAAATGTTAACATTTATGCTAGACTTGCACTTTGTGAATATTCTGTATGTGAACCCATCTGCCAAAATCAGCCCAGAAGTTTCATCTAAAAAGTCAAAGTTTGGCTCAAAGATTAAGTGCTGATCTCATTTCATATAATGCGAATTTTTACAAACCACTAGTATTAAAATATCGTGATATTCCTGACAGGAATATCTTACTGTTGTTTTAAAGAAAGAGTCTCAATTAGCCTAACTGCTAGGAACAGAAAAATGTTCTGCAAAACAATATGCAGTATTTCGTAAAATATACCTGTTCTGTTGTCATTGAGAGGGCAGCTACTCCAAGGCAGGGGCTCTTGGAAGGAGTTGAAGAAATACCACATTACCCAGGCAATAATAGTATTATAATATAAACCCACAAGGAAAGATACGCACATTGCCGCTATGCCTGAAAAAATAAAAATCAGAACACAAAGCAAATTTCAATACTCTTAGTTTTCAAGACGTATCAAAATGTATGGTATGAGCCTCAACCTTTCCCTGCTCTCCTCCCCACCCTAATTCCATGGTTTATAGCCTTTCCTTTCTCATCTCTTTATTTTGGATGTAGGTTAAATCACTGTGAATATGTTACCTAAAAGGTGAACCCTTCATAGGTGTACAACCCAAAACTAGTCTGAGACTGAAGCTGACACCCACCTGGGAGCCAATATTTTGGGTGGACTAACTCCCTACAGACTCCACACAATCCAGTTCACAGACTGACCTCCTGATATCTAGGGAGTTTGGAGTGCTGCGTACATGTAAAGCTCAACTGACAAGGGATTTTGCCTAAACGAGACCCAAGGTTGTCTTCTTCCACAACATCACTGCAGAGGTCAGCAGATGTGTTTGAATAATCTTTGTTGTATAGGATAGATAGCTGCCAGGAGACACAGGCTGTGAAAAGGTTCAGGATTCAAGCCTGTATCTCTCCTTCTTCACTTGCTCCCAAGTAATTGACCTCTGGTGACGTCTCTGGCAGATAGTAAACACTAGTGATGAGCTCTTGAGGGCTCTTATGTTCTGAAGAAGTTTGAAAAATTCCAGATGCAATGAATGAATATTTTAACTGATTTACACATGCAGTGGATGACAAAAACAGTCCTAACTGGCTCCATTTCCTCTCTTTCAAGTGTGTGGTTATCACAGAATCACAGAACGGCTGAGGTGGGAAGGGACCTTTGGAGGTCATCTTGTCCTACCTCCTGCTCAAGCAGAGCCACCTACAGCCAGTTGCCCAGGACCATGTCCAGGCAGCTCTTGAATATCTCTAAGGATGGAGACCCCACAACCTGTAAGAGTACTTGGTCACCCTCCCAGTGTTTCCTGATGTTCAGATGGCACCTCCCATGCTTCCTGTGTAACGAGGTAACTGTGGAGTTTTTAATGCTGTATGCAACATGCTGCTTCTACTACATTGTCAGACAAAGTGAATACTCAGAAGTCTAATACGGATATGAAGAAGTATTTTCTGCAAAATACTGTCTCCATGGCTTTTAGCATGGCACCTCTGTCAGATATAAAAAAGTAACATTACACGGAGCTGAAGTCTGGTAGACCAGCTTAGAGAAATATTCAGCTACTACTTATCCATAGAACAGTTATAGAACAGATTTTTGGCACACTTAAACTTTCATTCTAATGGTAAAAACGGCCAATATCAATAATACAGAAAATCTCTTTGAAGCCTGAAATTGGTCTTGAATTAAAAAAAAGGTTTTCACTGGACCTGTAGTACCTGGGATTGTGGACACAATATTGTCATAGTGCCTTGTCATTGCTGGTGCCACCTGTCGGTGCAGAGTTAGTGAGAAGGGAAAAGGATTAGATCCTGGAATCTCTTATGGCACACCAGAATAAAATCCTGAAGATTTGCTCTTAAGGCTTTCTCAGGCGACTTTTTGTATCCTCTTCAGACTTACCAACCCCTTTCAGGGTAGGGTGGATAGAGCTCCACACTCCCACGCTGCCTTTCCTCAGCCTTTGACCAATGGCAAACTCAAGATGAAGCAGGGGGATACCCTCCAGGATTAGCAAAATCAAGAAAGGGATCATGAAGGCTCCTATAATGGGGGGGGAAAAAAAAAAAATATTTCCCATCAGTGAAGTACTGCAATAAAGCGCAAACTTCAGTTCCGAGGGCTTTTGAAACAACAAGCGAGTTGCAAGTGTAATTGTGGAAACTCTTCTCCAGTTTCTGAACAATCCTTTTGCCCAAGTGCCCAAGCAGGGGATTTTGTTACATATGTGATTTCAGGTAGAAATTCTTAATTCTACATAAGCGACAAATATAAATAGTGATTGTACTCTCCCAAGTTTAAACTTCGAAGAGGCTACCTTTGGATTGCAAGTGGAAGAGAGGTAGTTACTTTCCTGGAATGATTTCCTTTGTATTCCGAAAAAAAAGAAAGGTTTTTATAATTATGAAACATGAAAATTACATGAGGTAGCTGAATTAACTAAGCAAGATGCCTCAAAAAAATTAGGCAGGAGCCTTGGCCTGTTTACATAAAATAACCAGTAACTGGCTGGTACCAAAGTGGAGAGTCAAATGTTTGAAAGTTGCTACATATTAAAATTATGGTTGTCTGTCACTACAAGTAGTCTTTAACTTCCTAACCATAGGCAGTAAGTAATATAAGAGCATTTAAAAAGTGCAGAACAGTATGTGAACAGCTCGTTCTGGTTTGAATATTTGCTGATGTTTTCCCCATGTATGCAACAGAAATCAGATGACAGTGAAAGAGGAAATGTGAAGAACGGAAACTATAGTTTTGAATTCAAGGCAGTTGGATGATTTTTGGAAGAGCTGAATTGCATGTTTTTCTTCTCCATAGGGTACTTCTTGATATTGTCTACACCAGAGTTTTAGAAATTATCATTAGTGCAAAGTCTTAATTTTCTATGTACCTCACAGTCTGCTGAAAATAATATTGTTGTATCAAGTAGCCACTATTATAATGAAATCGGCCAGCTATGCTTTTTGCTTTCCATTTCTATGGAATTCAGGTAATGCTAGTTACTCACTTGTCTTTCGTTGACATTTTTAAGATTCACTAATTAAAATCAGAATGAATACATAAAATGCTATTCAAAATGCTGACCAATTTGAAAATGCACATGCCACGCACCAGGTTCAATGACTAATCACTCATGCACCAGCAAATACATTTTTTTGTTGGACAGTTGCCAAAGGTGGCTGTATAGACATGATATCTCAGACTTCAGTAAACCATGTCATTTAGCAACACAAAAACTTCTTACTAAAATGTTAACACTCTTCAAAATCAGCGTAACTCATCTTGTTTGCATTAAAAAGTATCTATCACTGTAAAAGCAGAGACTGACAAGCTGAAAAGTTTTCAAACTCAAGACAGAAGAATAACTGACTCTGGATATGCTTTTTATTGCTGAAAAAATGAAGGACTTATGAATTGTTATTTGTAGAGAACTTAGCTAAAATTTCTGACTCTGCTGAGTCTTCCTTCCTTTCTTCTGTGTCAGTCTGTCACCTAGGGAAATGGATAATATGGACATCATCACCAAGGAGGACGGAATCTTATTTATTTTCTTCCCCACTTCTCATACCTCAGCTACACTCCCTTTTCCAGAGACCACAGAGTCCTTGCTAGGACAGCTGCTTGTGCCCTGGAGTTGTTGATGGTGCAAAAGTCTTACTCAGTTCTGGTTCTGGGATTCATTGAAACTGTGTCAGACTTGGTCACTGCAAGGAACTGACTCCCTCTGTCCTTTCAGATGGTTTCTGGCATTTCTAAAAGTTTGTCCTGTTTAGTATGTATGGATTTGCTTGCTTGTGCTGGAACATGCACTGGTGTGCATGTAAGTGCCCCTCTTCGTCTGACTTCAGAAAGTTTGCTCTCTACTGATACCCCACCCTGTATCTGTGAATAACACTTCTCACAACGGTTTTATTCTGGCTTTCATAGACAACTGGATTTTTGCAGTGTAGGCAAGGAGTGCCCTCTCACTGTTCCTACATGGGAGGGTCAGCGGGAAAACCTCCAAACAAGGGGCCTCTGGTGAAGTTACTTATCAATGTACGGAGCTGCAAGAAGCCAGAAATATGTCTTGTGCTCCAAGCTCACATCAGGCTGGCACACATCTGATGCAATCTCTCCAGGAACTCTTATTGGGGTAAGATGTGATAAGAATAAGATGATTCTGTTTATACCAGCAGTTTTTAGTTCCAGAGTATTCCATACGATACCTCCTAAGATTCTGAAACCTCACCCACAGTATGGCTACTCTGCAGATCTTTTTTTACCTCCACTTTTGGATGCTGGATAGGTCTTTGCTGTACTTCAATCTCACTTCTCTCTACTAAAGCCCTTCCTCAGCAATGGCAGTAATTAAGTCCAGAAGATAAATCCATGGAGCTACCTGGTCCAAATACTCCTCATTTGCACTCAGGGTAAGTCCTTGTCACCCTTTGAAACCCAGCTTGTAGCGATTGTCACTTAAAACTTAAGAATGGATTGGCAGTTCATTCTGCTAAAGCACCTTATTTGCTCCTAATGGAGATACATCACGATTTTTCCGTCAGCTCACAGTAAAGATCACTTAAGGACGTGATTTAAAATTCTTCCTCAGGTCAAAGATCTTGTTGCATAAGGAAATACACAGCCTTTATGATCCTTTCAGTCTATGACCACTTGTTTCTTACTGCATCTGTCAACGAAAACATTTTTTGGCAGTTACCATCTCTGTTAGCAGAAGGGAAAGATCGGGTTGTTTCCTATGAAACATTAGAAGCATTTTCTTTAGACAGTATTCAAAGGTAGTCTCAAGTTTTCACTTTCAGTAGAAGGCAGGCTAATTGATATTTAGATCTGGGCTCTAGCAGTCTGGGTACACACCATGCCTCACCCTCCAAGACAGTGTGATTCAGCAGCCGCATTGTCCTTATGCCGTAACTGTCCCCCTGGACAGCAGAGGGCATCCAATTTGCTGCAAGGCTCTCAGAACTGAACCATCTTCTCTGGTGGAGATGCCACAAGTGCTCTGTCAACCTCAGGGGATTTCCTGAAGTCTTGAGTTACTTACAGAGGTGCCTTTATTAAGGTGTCGTAAAAGAAGTCTTTAAAGCATAACATGTATTTGACAGAGCAGTCAGATAAAAGGACTCCACGACCTTCCCCATGCAGCCTCAAGAAGAGGAATGGATGTTCTTCACATGAAAAAGCTGTGCTGTCCTACTGTGTGCTCATGGCTCTCCAACTTCCTCACTACCTTGGGATCACCAGGAAGTAAATTTCAGGTTCTGGGAGGGACGCAAACGGAGAAGGTGGGTTTCTGTCTTCTCCCTTTGTTATCACAGACATAAAGTACCTGGTGTGTGTATACACCCACTGTGAAGAATCTGTATCTCTACACAAACAGACCTAACTAAAACATTTCTAGCTTGAAGGGCTAGCCATGTGTAGTATGGTAGCTCTGATGAGTTAAAAATGCAGGGTCTGCTGTGTCAGAACTGGACAAATAAGTAAAACTACCTGTATTCAGCTGCAGGAATATCAGCTTTCTTTCAAGAGAAATGAAATGGCTGTTCTCAGTTATGTATCTTACTTTTATCTTTTTTTGGCTTCTTCTCTTTCCAGGGTTCAATTCTAACAGCCATCTCAGAAATCCAGCTCTGCTGTATTTTCCACTTCTCTCAATTTCTCTCCAACCTTTCTGAAAGAAGCTATAATGGGAAAAGTAAATGCTAATGACTCTGCAAAGCTGCTACATAGGACATAAAAAAAAAAAAATCAATGCTTTTTAAGCTGTCACAATTTTATGAACCTAACAAATAAACCAATGATCTGAAAATAAATGCTCTATAGATGAGTAATCTTCCAGTCTGAAAACCTTGTAACTGAGATTTTAGATTCCTATCCTGTTTCAGTACAGTATTTCAGAACACATATTTGATCTGAGCATCCATATAACTATTACTCTCCCTTCTATTTAAGAGTTTCTAATGCAAAATGGAAAAATATATATTTCTTTCACATAATTCTTCATAAAGGGAAGACAGGTAGGCTTTAGACAGAGATGTTTTTCTATACTGTCATATGCTTATACCTCAACTGTAGTAAGGATACAAGTACCAGCTAGGAACTACTGATGTCAGTACTGTCACTTCATCCAGTGTGACATACACAGAGAAAAAAAATTCTCCCTCACACATTAGCATGGTTTACTGCAGACATATGCGAGCTGTAGACTTAAAGACTCTTTTTTAATCAGTGGTTTAAACATTAAGTACACATCCTCTTTTTATAACGCTCATCAGGGATGAAACAAAAATGTTTAACAGTTGATTAAATGACATGTTGCTCAATAAAGATTAAATGAAAGCTATGTGTCATTTCAGAGATAGCTGTCGAATGAAAGGAAAGTTCAATCCCGTTAAGTTGGTGAAAGCGCTGAGGCAAACACCGTAGCTTTTGCACTGCGTGTATATTAAAATCCAGTTCACCTGTGGTAATGATATATTTTACAACTTTTAACACATGAAAAGTATTAAAAGTGGTTTACTTCACCAAATCTTACTGGGGTAAATATTCCATTATTAAAAATATAAACTCATAATCTATGACAACAAAAGTGGGTAAATTGAGTAACCAACCAATTTCTTTTGGTGTACTGGGTATCACAGTGTCAAGGCACTATCACAGTATTGTGTTTGGGAAGAAGTAGCCTCTGAATAATTCTAGCTTTAAGCTGAAACCTGTGAAAACAAGACTTATCTATAAACTCAATGTTTCTAACTACCTTCACTACAGTCAATTTGCAGAGAGAAAATCTGCCTTCCTTGAAGCCCAAGGATAAATGTTATACGTCGCTATAGTCCATTCCATGAAGGATATAAAAAGTGCAAACACCGATTCACAAAGCAGGTGAACATTTAACCTTATTTGGGAGTGTCCTTTCTGAAATACTGACTCTCTACACCCTTTCTGCCAGACCTTATCTGTGCTAAGTGACTCCAAAAGTTCATCCACACAACGTGTATTTCAAAAAGAAAGAAGGTAAGGTAGCAAAGCCAACCCTCAGAAACTGGAAACAATTTTCACGAGGTAGTCTTTGCAACCTTGATTCTGCATGCACCTTATGAGTCAACTTCTAATTATGTCATTCCGCGGGGCTGTTTCTCATCCTCTGCAAATACTTACTGTGTGTGGTATTTTTTTCTGTCTCTTAATGCACAGCCATAATCCACCATCATATCCAAAGCGACCTTTAGGACTCTATAAACATTCCAGGGACAGACTGAGGAGCAGTGTAATCCACATCTCCAGTGAAAGAGTGCAGCAGCAGAGATTCCTCCTGCTCCCCACTCAGGATTCAGTGAAGACACGTCTCGGAGGTATCAAGTATGAAGACATACACTATCCAGGGTAAAGGCACTGGGCAGAGAAGGGGAAAATGGAGCTTCCTCAGCACACTCATAACTGTGGTGTATGTGTTGTATCAGTGAACTTGGAAGAAGGTGTGTGACATTGCAGGTTTCCCCTACTCTGTTACAGAGGCACATCTGTGTCCCTGGGTGGGCCACGTGAAGGCAAAGATGAATGAATCATCTTGGCCACCATGCCGAGTGGCAAAGACTAAGGCAAAACTTGACCAAAACGCCTAGTAAATGTGTATTTCCCACTGGAGGTAGCTGAAGCCAGACTTAAGGGTACCTGTGAAATCGAAGGTGATGCAGAGTGCTGCATCTATCGGATGTTTGCTATGCTGGGAACATGGCCGAGTGGGAATTAGAGAGGCAGGATCCAGGAAATCTCATAAGGCAGAAAATGTCCCAAGACCAAAATATCCTGAGAAATAAAAACTTCATGATCCATTTTTACAATATGTATAGTCACGTGGTCAAATTCAAAGCTATCCATGCAAAGAGAAGCAAGACCCTTTTTTTTTGCTGACTGAAGGGAGAAGTTGGAGAAGAGACGCTATAATGAGACGGTAGCAGTGGTGGCAGGAGTTGGATTTAGACCAACCAGAAGAGGCTGAAGTGCACTGTACAGCAAGGAAGGAGGAGGGATTGCACAGCAGCTCCCCACCCTCACGTGGAGAGCATTGCTGCTCACTCTTAGTTACTGATACGAGTCACAGCATTTGGTGTTCTGCAGAAGAACTGAGAGAGAAAGTAGCTTGGCTGCATGGACACACATCTGTACAGCAGCTCTAAGCCCAGAGCCAGCTACATCATTTCTTTGCTATGTGCCACCTTTCAACTTCTGCCTAAAATTTTGGTGAGAGAGTCCCAGGGAAGCAAGAAGCTGAGGGTAACTGTTGTTACTGTTCCTGAACAAGCAAGCCACAGAATGGCAAGAAAGGCAAAAAAACTTGCTACCAAAGGATAAATTAAAACACAGTGCTGAGAGACACACACAAGCAATTCACACATCCTCACTGACATCAGTTAGAAAACCACGATCCACACCAAGTTTTTATTGTTCGTTGGTTGTTCACTTTTTAGCTGCATTTCATAGGGCTAGAACGTGAGGGAAAGGAAAGACAGACAGAAAAGTAGGAAAGTGCCTATAAATCAACCCTGTGAAAAAAGGGCATGTCCACTTTCTAAGACTAAGTGGAAGAACCTGAGAAGCCAGTGAGTGCCATGAATTTTGGACATATTCATCCACTGTTTCAAATTAAAATTGCCACACATAGAAAGGGGGTTATGTTTTTTTTTTTTCCTGTATTCTGTAACTTCCGTGGTACAAGAGAGGGCTGTATTGCAAGTGACCTTCGATTTACGCTGCAAACCAAACACCAGCCTATGTTAGAGAAATCTTAACATTAAAAGCATCTCTTCTTGCAACTGATTCATCTGTTGTTAAATGTCCCTGAGTTGGTACCGGCAGCTCCCCATAGAGCCCTGTTTGGTCTCTACTCTTACTAGGAAGAACAATTTTCAAATATCTCTCTATACATTTAATGACAATTACTTTGAAATACTGTTCCTTAAGCCAAAAAAAATTCTTTCTAGATAAAACATCACACAGGAACAAACACTTTTCACACATATGCTGGAGTAAAAGGCAGATAACAGGTAGATAGTGAGCAGAAAAGGCTGTCAGAAAATGATAAATTTATGTTGTGATATTCAAGCAAAGGTTCATCTCAAGATCCTCTTTAAAAACAAGCAGCAAAACAGTGAAACAAATTCTTTAATATGGTCATTCAGTCCCAACCTTAATCCTAAGGAGTCACAGTAAATTATATGGTAAATAGCATACGTTTGCTAAAAACGTATTCTTAATATGAACTACTTTCATGCTGTTACTCCAATCACAAATTACACAAACACTGACCTTACAGTTGATACACAGATCAGTCCAAAACCAATTTAAGTCCTCTTATGAAAAGATCATTTGGGGTCATGATCAGAATCATACTCCCAAGTAGTTTTTTAATATTTTAAATTATACATTTTATATATGTATGCATGTAAAGTAAAAATTTTAGATTGAGAAAATGTACTATGTACATGACAGTGTGAGATTGATTTGATCAGGCTTGTGTCCTGAAATAAAAACAGTCCCTTCCTTTTCTTTCATCGCTAACATAATGTGATTTTAGTGGGTGTTCATAGCCTGTGAAATAACCTTCTCCATTAGACAGTCTTCTAGAGACAAGCATCACTGTTCTTACAAAAACTGACCAGTTCTAAATATATCCCATTATTTGTTTCCCACAAGAGAGATCAAACCTAGTTTATAGCCAAAATTAGTTAAGATATATTTAAAGACATACCTCCTCCATGGCTCTGACAGAGATATGGGAACCGCCACACATTTCCTAAGCCCACACAAAACCCTACGCACGTCAGCATATACTGAGCCTTGTTATCCCATTTTGGTCTGGAGTCTGCCTCTTCTTTCTCAAGGACCTCAAGTTCTGCATGGGAAGGTATCCTGTCCTCCAGGCCACGATTGGGCAACTGTAGCTTCACCATATTTTAAATTTTCTGACTGAAAATGCTGCCCCAGTGAGGAGATAATGAAGCAGGCAGCGAGTTAGAAACCTGCTCAAAAAGAGAACATCTATTTACTGTCTTCAGCTATATATAGTGAACCTTTGGCACTAAACTTGAAAGTGCAGGCTCGTAGTAAAGAGAAGCGTCAGCAAATCATTTGATTGACCAAGTCAGCTCTGACACTTAATGCTTTATCTGCCAAGGTTTTATGGAACAGTCTGTTCATCTAGCAGAATACATTGATTTCAGCTAATGCAATTCAGGAGATAATTTGGCTATAAACTGTAATCGCCTATAAGGTTATGAAACAGCTCTGCCACTCCCCTCTTTAAACTCACATATATAGCCCTAGTAAATAGAGTAAAAATATTCCACTAGCCTCATGCTGGATATAGACATTTAGTACTATTTTTTATCAGGAATATAATCTGTATGTGAATCACCATTCCACCCAGTTTCCCCCAGTGTATGTGTACAACATTTTTTCTGATAATTACTGGAACATGTTATTCCTTCACTGTAAGAGATATTACTCTACTAAAGGCTCTGACAAAAAGGATGGAGAATAGAAGGGATTATAAAAATCTGACCTTTAAAATCATAAGAGTAATCTCCTTACCCTAATGCCTCTAATCATTATAGAACAAGGTCTGAAGAACATAACATCCTTCTTGGAAACAGGCTTGAAATCAAAGGTCCCGTCACCCTTTCAATGACCCTACGATATGCTGGTCAAAAATAAAAAAGTGACACTGGTTAACAAATATCACAGACTTTACTCACATCCTCATTCTTTCCGTACAATCATAATAAGACTGTTCTGCTTGTACCTCAGTGTTATGAAAAGGTAAATACTTGCCACTGAAAACCATATATAAAATCTAGCGCAGTATATGTCGTAAGAAAGAATTTTGTCAGCTAAGCCCTCCAGGCTGATAGCATACGATGATACAGGGTGGTCAAAATAACAAACTAGAAGGGATCTTGCAAGTCCAGCCCCTGTCAAAGAAGGTGAACACATCACAGCATCCCTTTGCAACCTTATTGTGTTGATTCAGACTAGATTTTATTTTTTAAATCCCTGTTTCTAAAAGGCTGGTCTAGAATTTCAGTCCTTTTATGCTCCAAGAAGGCTGTTTTTTGTCTTTTGAACAGAAGTTACAAAAAAAGTCTTTAACCTTGACATGGAGAACTGTATACTGTAGCCCAGTGCTTTATAATCAAGCATTAATATTTCACTACCTTGACTTGAAATACCTCTATCTGTCTGCTTAGAGATAGCACTTGATTTTTTCATGACCTTGTCAGTTCTGTGGATGAGCTATCTCCTGATTAATCATTGGATCAACACCTTTCCTCTCCTTTGGCAGTTCCAACTGAGGATTTCCCAGCTTGCAGCAGAACTACTTTTTCTAAATTGCCAAAAGCATATTTTAAATTTCACCTAATTTCTGCTACTCCAGTACATTGAGGTGCTCAGTTCTTCCTGAATGGTACTTTTTCAGCCTTCATAACTCTTCTGAGATTGTGTCATGAGTATTTTGCTAACATGCTACTATTTTCTGTCCTTAGTTATTGATGGAAGAATGACAAAACACTGTTCCTAAACTGACCCTATTTCTGCTTTCAGCACAGCTTATCGTCTTCATCAGATCTTTACCTAGTCCTTTGTTCACATTATAGCTCCTATTTAGCTCAGCTAATACATCCAGCTGTGGTCAACTGGCAACTCATCTACTGAAGTCCAAAAAACCTACATTTACCGTACTTCGTTTGTCTAGAAAAATCAAATTTCACTTATAAGTGGCAATAGAGAACTTTCAAATTGCAGCTCTTCAACTTCCAATTTTGCAGAAAGACATTGACCTACTGAACAACAGCGAGAAACCGCACATTTCAGGAACTCAGAACTCATCTGGGTTATCATTCTGCCTCCTGAATCATTGGAAGATAATCCTAGTTTTCCTGCTATTGGGAATATGAGGCAGTCATAAAGGGCACACAGAAGACAAATAGGAAAATCCAATGTCCTTGCCGCAGTATTTCTGCACTCCCTGACTAGTAGGCTTTAGTTCTAAGTATTTGGAAAGTCTGACGTAGAACCTCTTTCAACAGATGAATTGGACCACGATTACATGCTGTCCCCACAATCTATCTTACAGCTACCATTTAATGACCCTTTGTAATCAGAAATCTTTGGCAATCAACATTCTGTATATAATTTATTGAATCTAAAATAGCATATTTTTCTTTAATCACAGTGCAAGTTGACATGGAAGGAAGGAATATAGCTTCCTTTGGGAATCAAATTATATGAGGGCAAACAGATAAGGGTGTACAATAAATTCACACTTGTGTTAGGATGATTTGAAAATTTCTCTCTGCTAAGTTCCATGTGCAAGCAGTTTCCATCAGGATCCAAAAATACCTTCCAGATTCCTTTCTACTGGATAAATCCAAAATGTTCTTTCTGAAGGAGTTTGTCTTACTTTGGTAATTCCAGGTTCCAGTGGTTGCTAGTTATCTACCAGTCGTTCAATATTTGCAAAAGCGAATATGCTGGTATGGCATCTAGATGAAATTTCATTATCAGTGGAACTGCAAAGCCAATGAGCTTGGAAGGCGGAGCACCTTTTCCTGAAGCACATGTGGTAGCAATTACACCAGCTAGAACATGAAGGACAGATGCTCGGAGGGGTTGTCTCTGTTGCCACCCTGTGGATTTGAACACAAGTTGAGGCTGCTCTGCAGCAATCACGGTTGCTCACCTATTCTGAGCCCTTTTCTTTGCATTAAGGTAAACTCCTACTTAGGTTTAGGTTTGGCACGTCCCGAGGGGTTTGCTATGGCTAATAAACCTCAACAAAATCAATCCTTTCACAACAGAGGCTGCTAAAGAAGGTAAATTTTGCAAATTGGTAATTATAAATGCAGGAGGGAATGGATCTTACATTTAGATTGGATTATTTGTGTTAAAACAGTTCTAATGACACGTTTGTCTTTTTGTCTACTAACTCCGTATTTTTAATGTACTATTTTTTCAAACGTTTAAAGAGGCTATACAAAAAAGTAAGCCAACTTGTCTGTAACTCACAATTCTACAAAAACTTGGTTGAAAAGAAAATATCTCCTTTCTAAAAGTCATACTTTTTTTCTGGAATATACACTCGTACACATTTGTGGAAGAATGCAGACATATTCCTTTTCTGACATGAAAATCTCTTTTATCTTGCAGTACAATGAAGATGTTAGGAAAGATTATGAGAAGGGGTAGCAGCGATGAAAAGAAACGGCAGTAGAAGGATTTTGGCATGTAAATCAAGACAACAGCGAGGAACAGAGCCCCTCGCTTCCCTCTGCAGGGCCAGGTCTGGGAATGCTGTGATACTGAGCTGTGCTGAGGGGCTCCTGGCTATGGGCAGTCCCCAATGTGTCTTGGTAGCCTGGGCCCCACCAGGACTGTCCTTGGCTGGGATATAAGCCATCCTCCCCTGAAGCATAGGTGGGGCCTGGCACCCTGTCCCAAACTGACCACCTAGCAGCTGCTCCCGCTTCTGACCTTGTAGTGGTCTCTTTTTGTGCTGGGTGGGAACTCCTGGACCTTACTTACCCTGCAGAAAGCCATTCTTGTACGGAGAAGGACAGGTTCAGAAGAACCCATTACTGAATTGAGTTAACTGACTGAAGGACCTGGCTGAAGTGCCTGTCTTCTGCCCTCCACCATGGTCTGTTCTCCCTAGTGGCAAGTGATAGGACAAGGGGAAATGGCCTGAAGTTGCACCAGAGGAGGTTCAGGTTGGATATTGGGAAGAATTTCTTTACCAAAAGGGTTGTCAGGCATTGGAACAGGCTGCCCAGGGAGGTAGCTGAGTTGCCATTTCGGAGGTGTTTAAGAGAAGGGTAGATGTTGCCTGAAAGGACATGGTTTAGTGGTGTTGATAGGGCTAGGAAAACATTGGACTCGATAATCATGAAGGTCTTTTCCAGCCAAAACTCTTCTATGATTCTGATTCTATGATTCTGTGGAATGCACTGGGAAAACTTCTGGCTGGGACAAGGGGCAACCATCAAGGCAGTCCGTGAGCCTGTTCTCAAAGAAACCCAGTTCCTTTCATTTAAAGCCATTGAGAAAGGCAGACAGCAGCAGCAACATGTGTGATTTGCATCCAGTCATGGTTTCAGGTATGAAATACGATATTGTCCTTTGCTTGTGATCCCCACATCCCTGGTATGACACAGGACAAGTCTGTAACTCCAAGTATTTTCAAAGTGGCATTTACAGAGCATTGCAGCTAAAAGCAATTAATCATAAACACCAAGTTTATTCTCTCATCTTGCCTTACAATATACCATGTTACTAGGATTAACTACACTATTTTATAACCCTTTTTAGTACTGTAACAGATACTGATGTGAAATCTTTTACTCTAGTGATTCTGTAGCAATATTTCACCAGCATTAATCATACTTCTTTTTTTCAGTCAGCTTCTATTTTGTAGTCAAAGCAACGTGTACAGCAATGACAATCACTCCTGGATGTGCAGTAAGCCTAAAACAGGAAAAGATGGAAATGTAAAGATGGTGGTAACTATATAGCTTAAAGCACAGGATTCTCATTTGGAAGAGTAAAGTGGTAAGGATGTAATAAAAGAAGAAGAAGAAGAAAATACGGAGGTTAAATGAAATACTTTCTCTGACAGCCTGGCCCTGACGAAATCTACTTGGACCATCTTTTAAAATGAGCGGATAAACCACAAAATCCTTTTACAAGCTGCTAGTGAGTAAAAACCTTGACTAGCTACGCAAAGAGGGAGCACTGAACCCCAGGCCCAGGAGGAGACTCAAAATCCCCAGACTAAGGGTCACTAATGATCATATGAGAACAGGAGATATGCAGGCAAGATGTTTATGTGCTGCTTAGTTTTAAGGGTAATAATCAACATCAGGTGGTTATGGAGTTTACCTTGCCAAGAAAAGTTCTGTAGATCTTTAACTTGATCTAAGTTTTATGCTCTGTTGTTCTCAACGAAGGTATACTCATGTGCCTC